CAGGTGAGTGGGCTTCCTTGTTTTACTTTACATGGTGGGGGACAGGGGGCTTCTTATTTTATGTGGGGGGCAGGGAACAGGGGGATTCTTATTTTATGTGGGGGGCAGGGAACAGGGGGATTCTTATTTTATGTGGGGGGCAGGGAACAGGGGGATTCTTATTTTATGTGGGGGGCAGGGAACAGGGGGATTCTTATTTTATGTGGGGGGCAGGGAACAGGGGGATTCTTATTTTATGTGGGGGGCAGGGAACAGGGGGATTCTTATTTTATGTGGGGGGCAGGGAACAGGGGGATTCTTATTTTATGTGGGGGGCAGGGAACAGGGGGATTCTTATTTTATGTGGGGGGCAGGGAACAGGGGGATTCTTATTTTATGTGGGGGGCAGGGAACAGGGGGATTCTTATTTTATGTGGGGGGCAGGGAACAGGGGGATTCTTATTTTATGTGGGGGGCAGGGAACAGGGGGATTCTTATTTTATGTGGGGGGCAGGGAACAGGGGGATTCTTATTTTATGTGGGGGGCAGGGAACAGGGGGATTCTTATTTTATGTGGGGGGCAGGGAACAGGGGGATTCTTATTTTATGTGGGGGGCAGGGAACAGGGGGATTCTTATTTTATGTGGGGGGCAGGGAACAGGGGGGAGAGGGTAATATTTTATATGTGGGGGTGCATGGAACAGGGCGGAGAGTGTATGGTAATATTGTTAAAGTTGCTAATATTTATTTTTGTGTGTGTGTAATATTTATTTAACTAACAGTGTGATTTATAAGATTTAAGAGGGTGTGTTTAGGGGCGGAGTTAGGCCTGGTTCACACCTGAACGTTTTGTAGCGCGTTCAACGCTTGACGAACGCTCTACAAAACGCTCAAACATCTAAATCCCATTGTATTCAATGGGTCTGGTTCACACCTTGCAGTATTTCCGCCCGTCCGAACGCGATACAAAACGGCCTACGCCCAAAGAAGTACATGTACTTCTTTGGGGCGTTTTGGTCTTGCGTTTCCATTGGGATACAGCCAAGTAGCCCTCGGAAACGGGCGACGCGAAATGCGCGACAAACGCGCATATTCAATACGCCTAGGTGTGAACCCAGCCTAAAGGGCAGGGTAGGGGTTAGGTGGGCAACTGGTGGCGAGTAACTCTTAAAGCAGGGCTAGTAGCTCAGGACTTGAAATTTTGACCCCTGCAATAGGTATAGTAGGTGTTTTCCTAAGGCAGGATATTGCTGGATCCAGATTGGTAACAGCCCACGTAAGAAAATCCTCACCAAACAGGTAATTGATCTGAAAAGCATCTGAGAGGAGTGAATAATTTGTCAAGAGTAGTGAAACCTCCATAGGGAACAAGTTAAAATAAGGAGTGTACCAGAAAATTTCTGATGGTCTTGGGACCTTTAGGGATCCCAGACTGGTAACAACACTAGCAGACATTTGGCTCGCACAGCATCAATAAGAGCCGATATGGTATCTTTTAGTTAGAGAGCTATTTCAGCTGAATTGGGCTTCTCAGGAGCAAACCTGTCTATCAAGGACCTGCAAGTTGACCTAAAACATTTAGCAGCTGCAGAAAACTCCTCCATGGATAAGGCAGAGAGAGCCACACATGATGGAGCAATGGGAAGATACCAAGGATTAGGATGACTCAAACCAGGAGACAACGATTCAGGCTAATAGTTCAGGTTCCTTCAAGAGGGACACTGCAGGCTGCCCCGGCACATTTAATGGATCATGAGCTATAATGACCCGATGCTGCAGAAGCGCTCCCCTTGTTTTTTGGGATCCGACATGCTTAACAGGAAGAACTTAATAGAACATACTAGGTAAAACCTTGGTTTGCTCACAATGAACTGCTTAAGCAGGAGAGGTTTAATAGTCAGAGGTGACCAGGTCACTGCAGGCAGCAACAAAGACTAACCAAGTTGTGAACCACGTGTCTCTTGCAGATAGCAATGGCGGAAAGAAACTGCATCATGCTGGAAAAAAAAAAAGGCAAACAGAGCAGGAAATGAATGCGACACTGAAGTTGGTACAGTATTTAATTCCTCAGTGCATTAACCGTTTTTGAGGAACCTTCAAAATAAAGAAGTAATGGTGGCATTTAACAATACCAAAAAGTGTAGCAGCTCCCAAAGCCCAAATGGCATGCTTATTAAAGTTTTTCTTTTTTTTAAAAAACAGCCGGTTGGCAGGGTTTCTATGGCTGTAAAAGTCTCTCCTGTCATAAAAGCTTCTTTCTACCTTTCAGCATATTTTTTTCTTTCTGTATGCTGAGTCGCACAAGTGCAACTCAGCACACAGATCAGGAATGCCAAGATGAAGTTACGTCATTGGGGGGTGGTGGGGGCTGGCCAATCAAGCAGCTGAACACACAAAACCCGGAAGAAGATGGAAGTGCCGGTGACAGAGAAGTGCATTGGTGGAAGAGAATTGTCTTGGCAGGTAAGTCTGCCATAATGTGCTATTATGCTGTGCATCTGTAAAAAATAAGTCAAGGCAACTGGACTTGCTGTATTTTTCTTGAAGACGTTTCACTGGTTTTATGAATTGAGGACGCTGGTTGGATGACCAGTGAAACGTCTTCAAGAAAAATGCAGCAAGTCCAATTGCCTTGACTTATTTTTTACAGATATACCATGACCTGGATGAATGAGAACCTTCAAAGACATATTATGTTGTGCATACAAGCACATTATGGCTATTAGCTCCAGGAGAGATTTTTTTTTTTTTAAAGCTATACTACTTTAAGAGTCTTCAGAGACTGGGTCACACCAGACGCTGTGCCATGGCTCTGAACTTAGACACTCTCTGGCTACCTAACACAGTACCAGGGGGTCTGCAAAGGTCTTGGTAGTGCCACTGGCCATAGTACGCATTTTAGGCAAGCTCTGCAATCTTTGCTCCAATGGGGTCCAGGCACAGTCTCCAAGGCACTGTTGAGGATTAACTGATCCGCATAGAGAGAGCCCACCTACACAACATGTAGATGATGCTGATGTGTAGTTAAAAAGGTGTTTGCTAGTGTCCAAATCCTTCTGTATGTGGCAGTGTAACCCAATCGTATCAGAATAACTGAATACTGTGTTCCTAAATGAACTTATATATACACACAAACAATCTTAAACAAAATCAAGTCAGTATTTAAGTCCATGAAGCATCTTTATTTAAAAAAAAAAGAAATCAACATACAGTTTATCTGAGGTTATTAAACAGCTCCATACTTTAACAGGCTCTCCCATAAAGGTTCACATTAAAATAAAATAACCAAAAAACTCCCAGTCCCCTTCTTTCACTCCTAATCTATTCTAAGATAAAATCCCCCCACCCAGCTGCCTACTTACCTCTGCCTGATGGGGGTGGCTTCCAGTGGAGTTCACAGCCTTTTTGCAGAAATCTTATCCTGCATTGCCTGTGCACTAACTGCCCACAGACTTGAAATGAGCCTTATTGCAATGGTACAGCTATCACCTATTTATGTCTATGGGAAGTTACTGAATAGTTGAGTACACAGTTGAAACACATATATTTGTCTACCCTGTACTGAGATTTACACAACCCTAACACACAGTACAGCCAGCCTGGTGACCTGACTTTGCTGCAGTTAAATAAAACAGCTGGGTAGCCTCCCTGTCCCCAGCCTGATCTTTCAGATATGGAGCCCAAAGAGTGCTATGACTTAGTGGCCGAATGTAGCTTGAAAAGCAAATTTAATTTAGTTAGTGGTGAAGTTTTGCCAGCAAGAAGGATCATGGGTACTTGGTACAACACATACAAAAACAAACATTCCCAGCATACTCACCAGCCAGCCTGCAAAAATAGTACACAGTCTAACTACTAAGGGTAAAAACAGAGGTTTTTGTTACACAACTTTTGCAAAACATATGGAAGCCGCAGTGCCTCGTCAAGGCCCCTCTGTATAATGTGCTTCTAACTCTAATCTATTTATAGCAAAGAATGAATTGGGTGCAAATTCACCAGGAGGCAGCCCAACCTCCTTAAAAGGCATAGGGACACACAAGGAGCCCTGCAGATCAACATGGCTGCTGAAGCCCCCCCATGTGTTCCCACCCTAAATCCAAAAAGTGAAACGAATGGCAAACGCACTCATCAACTTATAACTCGCTTTAAAGCAAGGCTTCAGCTGCCATTGTGATGTGCAAGGCTCCTTGTATGTCCCTATGCCTTTAAGGAGGTTGGGCTGCCTCCTAGCGAAGCTTACATCCAATTCATCCTTTGCTATAAATATGCTCCAAGATGGAGACTCTCATAGATTAGAGTTAGAAGCGCATTAAACATAGGGGCGTTAATGAGGCACTGCGGCTTCCACATGTTTTGCAAAAGTTGTGCAACAAAAACCTCTGTTTTTGCCCTCAGTAGTTAGGCCGGGTACTTTGTTTGCAGGCTGCCTGGTGAGGGTGCTGGGAATATTTGTTTTTGTACTGTGTAAAGCCCTTCCATGTGCACCTTGCTTTAAAGGTAGTTATGAATTTGATGAGTGTGTTTGCCATTCGTTTCACTTGGTACAGCACACACACATCACAGAATGTGTGTCAGTTAGGGCTCATGATGGACATTCTTTTCAAATGTTGCATTTGTTATTGGAACACAAATACATTTGTTAGAATGGCAAACCTGGCAAAAAAAAAAGCTGCATTAGACCTGCTTTGCCTGCAGTTCCAATGCACCCAAATAGGACAAGTTCCATCCAACTGTAGTGCAAAGTAAAGCAGGTCAAATGCAGCCTTTAGACACATTTCAAATGCAGGAAAATAATGTCCATTGGCATGAACTCTTAAAGTATATAGCAAACTATATCTCCATGGCTGAATCCAGTTTGTTTTCAGGCTTCTGATAAACAGTACTAACAAGAAACAATATTGGGCCAGAATGTTTGTTCAGGGTTTTGTGTACTACAGTTCCCCAATAAATAGCAAAAGGCAACACAGACAACTTAGTTCACTTGCTGAGTGCTTTAATACTCGGGTGCAAATTTAGGGATTGTGGTCGATGCCCCAGTAATACCTTTCTACAACCACTTCCACCTCCACTCCGTCATAGCACTGTGCGTCAGTACACCTGGAAATGAGCAGAGGTAGAACCGTCTTTCCACAAGCGAAGTGTTTCTACCGCTACAGACCGGCAAAGGGGACAAGTTTTCTCTCTGTCAAACCAAAGGCACAGGCATTCCTCACAGAACACATGCTGGAAAAAAAAAAAAAAAGAGGACTAATTAAATAACGCTTGCTTCAGTGTTCTTGTATCTATTACATGGATTTTTATTTGGTGCTGACAAATTACATAGCACGTTACATATTGCACATTTACATCAGTCTCTGCCCTCAAGGAGCTTACAATCTATGGCACCTATCTCACATGCATACATACACACATACACATACTAGGGCCAATGTAGACAGGAGCCAATTAACCTGCCAGAATGTCTTTGGAGTAAACCAAAGTACACAGAAGAAAACCATGCAAGCACAGAACACGCAGGCTACTTGGAGAACCAAGGACCCCTGCGATGCAAGGAAGAAGTGCCAACCACCAGGCCACTGTGCTGCTCGGCAATCTAATATGTTGTTTTTCAAAGTAAGGAGTATACTACTTGTGTGGTACCTAGGACCAGTGGCATCATAAGGGGGGTGCAGCCCGCACCCGGGTGACACCATTGGAGGGGTGACACCAAAATGACTTGGTCATTTTGATCACAGCTGTGTGTAAGGATTCATGACAAATAAAGCAGTATCTATAGGGACACTAATATGCAGGCTAGAAGTGGCCATTTCTAAAGAATGCAGTTGCTATTTTTATGTAGTAGACAACAGGGGCGTGCGGTCAGGGGAGGCAGGTGAGGCAGCGCCTCACCTAGAATTATGGAGAAAAAAGACATGAAGCTGACAGCTTTTTCTCCATTCACATCGGCATCTAACAGATTATACAGCAGGGAAATCCTCCCTGCTGTGTAACCTGTCACGGAGCCTCAGTGGTGAGGAGCAAGTGAGAGACAGGGATGCCCCTCCCTGTCTCCTTTACACTAGCTGGGGGACGGGTTGGGGGTGGGGCTTCGACCGACAGGAGGCGGCGCTTCGGGCGGCAGGGGGTCTGGGGAATGCCTCACCTCGAGCATGAGGTACCGCACATCACTGTTAAACAACAATGCAAGCACCAGCAGTAAAACTTTGTCCAAAACTCTGTCACTTTTGCCAGGCAGTATAATCTGCATTTACTTTTTTTACATAAGCCCCCCCCACCCCCCTTGTACTTGTCTATATTTCAGTTGTGATGAGGTCATCCCTGTGTTCTACACTCCTGTAAGCATATCGATTGTTTTAGGATGACAGCAATGCAAAGCAATAGAGCCCTGCTTGGCTCAAATTGCTGACCCTCCCTCTTCCGTTTAAGTGCTGTTGTGCATGGGCTTATAGGAGGAAAATATCAAGAGAGATTTAGATACATGTCAGCCATGTCTAAAATATATTTAATGGTCTCCTTTTAATTAATACACTGCTAGATTAATTAGGTTTTATCTACAAGAGCAGCTTCAAAATTTACCGAACACAGATCATATTACCTGGCATATTAGGATTATGGGATCCTTGAAATCTGCCTGGCATATTGCACATATATTCCCAGCTTCACTACATTGCTGGCTGCTGGCGCGAACACCATACTTCTGTAGAGGAAGATTGCAGAAAATACATGAACACATACTGCACTGCATGTTAAAATACAAATCTGCACATGGTAATAAGATATTAAGCATATAGAAAATAGGGCATTATCTATGGTCATGCCAAAGCCATATTGCGATGCCATTATACAATATATATATATATATACAATAATTCAGATGCACTAAAAGATTGCATCCAAAAGTGGGTCAAGTGAAAGGCAGCCACTGGATTCACTAGGGATTTAGCTGTGGTACTGATGACAACAACCCTTAATGGTATTACCTAAATAGTAATACAGGTACAGAGGGCTAATTATTCTATGAACCATCAAAGTTTATTAATTGAAGAATGAATTAGCTTATTTAAAACAAATACTGTCATTACGTAAAAGTAATAAAACAGGCATCACCAAATGGAATGCAGGTACTCTCAAATGATACTTTCAGCAGTTCTTGGTGTGGGCTTTTGCTTCCACAAACCCCTAAAAATAAAAGTGACTCCACTCTAAATTATCCCCAACTGTAAAGCTAGCACTTAAAAGTATATGTAAACCCTAAGGCCACATTCACACGGGCGTGTTGCTCTGTACAGTGTGAATGTCTGGTTGTTGATGTTCCCGAAGTTGCATGAAGAAGCCTGTATAGGTGCAGGAGCTGTGAACCCTTACACGCTGCTTTCTGTAGCTCCGAGTTTTGACAGCCACATTTACAGCGTATGGCCTCGGATGCAGACAGGATCCATCCAACTCTGCACATGTCTGTGTGCGGCTGTCAAAACTCGAAGGGCTGATGTGCATTAACCATTAGGCAGCTGCAAAGGCTGCTGGGACACGCAGTCCCAGAAACTGCAGTGACAAACCTGTTTGCCTGCCTGTAATACACTAAAAAAATATGTAACTTCCCACTGACTTACAATATTTATCTCTACACATTTTTCTAATATTGCCTAATGCAGGGCTCAAAATTTCCACTCGCCCGCTCGCATTTGGCGAGTGGAAATAAAGAGAGGGCGAGTGGAAATTCAGTCAGGCACGCGGTCACGGATCTGCACGGATGAGAGCAGCCGCTCCTTGCTGTCCTGTCCCCGTTACTTTCGATCGATCACCGGAGCTCTGACAGTTCTGAGCCCCGTTCGCAAGGATGGATTAGTAAGGTCTGCAGACCTTACTGCAGAGAACGGAGCTCAGAACTGCAGAGCTCCGGCCGAAAAGGAACGGAGCCAGGACAGGACAGCAAGGAGCGGCTGCTCTCACCTAATGCATATAAGCTGTACTTTTTTTTTAAAGGAGACTGGAGTTCAGCTGCAATAAAGGGTAGAATTTGTAGGTATGAATTCATTTTAATTTAGTATAAGATGCATTAGCAGCTGGGACAACATTCAGACATACCGTATTAAAGTGCAGGTCCAGCCAAAACATTGTGTGTAGGTTTTGGATAGTGCGAGGAAGCACTAAACACCTGCTGGGTTTTATTGGCTAACTGTCCTATCGGTTTCACCGGATAGATAGAAAGAAAGGAAACATTTCCAACAGCAAACCTGACAGAGATAAAAATGCTGTTCATTAGGGGAGGGGGAGACCAGAACCCAGTACGTTTTTTTTATCACTGTCTTTGTCCCTGTTGCAGTTTTTCCTCATTTCCTGTTTGATGAAATGGTTGTCACAGTGACAGTGAGTGAAGGGAAATCGCTCTAACAGAGCCACAGATAGCAGTAAAAAAACAGCAGGGGTTCTAATCATTCCCCAATCTATCCAAAATGTAACCAAAAAAAAATAAATATTTGACAAGACATGCACTTTAAGGGTCAGTCGACATTAAACTTTAATTAGGTTCATATCAGGGTTGGCTAACAGTAAATCTTTGATGAGACGACCCAAAGAGAGATCCTTGTCAAAGAGTATCATACCTCAAACTGCAGCAAAACGTATTCCTGTGGCATTCTCTTTAAATTGTATGTGAGGGCTAAATAATAAAAAAAACATATGCAGTGCATCTCTGCAAAATACAAGATCCTAAGTCCTGTTGTGGGCTGACACAACATTTTCTGGACTGAGTGGTGTTAGCTTTGCCCATTTTTGTTTTGCTAAACTACTCAGGTTCTCCCCCTATCCTATGGTCCTCAACATAGAAAATGAATAATTCTGTAGCCCAATATAAGAACTAGAAGAGGGCAATACTCCCCATGAGAGAACACTGGAAATGTGCGCACAATTTCTGACATGATCAACAGGTTTTTTTTGCACTTATTGAACAGATTTAACAAAACCCTTAACTGTTTATTTAACAGACTACAATTGAGCAATCAAGATGTTAATTATTCACGTTTACATTCACTTTAATGTACAGTAACTTAAATATCCAAACAAAGAGCGAGACCCCTTTGTAATGGCTGTGGCAGCACGACAGACCCAGGATCTCACTGCTAGCGTTCCTGACAACTTCCAATGGATGATTTGACCACTCTGTTCAAAGTTAAAATATCTATTCAATGGACACAATCTTTAATGGTCACACTAATCCTATGTTTACTGATGGGGTACCTGCGAATGGCACAGTATTCTCAATGCTTTCCTCAGGCCTCCAATTCGTCCACAGATGTCAAAGGACTGAAAGAAAAAGCATGAATGAATTATTCATTTGTAATGCTTTCTTGTGCTGCTGTATACTGTTCAATATCATAACGACCTGGTACAATGCCAACCATATACATTCAGATTGCTGTTGCCAATGTGAACAATTACAACATCACTAGCAGTAATCAGACAGTGTAAAAAGGATCTGGATCTCAGAGCTAAATGGACAAAAATACAATCTCTCTGGCAGGAGAGCATATCCCTCATACAGTGAGAAAAATAATGATTTGATCCCCTGTAGATTTGGTACGTTTGCCCACTTGCAAAGAAATGAAAGGTCTATAGTTTTTATCATAGGTGTATTTTAAATGATAGAGACAGAATATCAACCAAAAATCCAGAAAAAACACATGATACAAATGTTATAAATTGAGTTGCAGTTCAGTGAACAAAATACGTATTTGATCCCCTACCAACCAACAATAATTCCGGCTCCTCCCACAGACTTGCTATGTGGTACACAGATTAGTTCTGTCATTTTAAGAAGGTGTTTCTAACAACAACTCGTTATGTATATAAAAGACACCTGTCCACAGAATCTCTTTCTTCCATTCAAACCTCACCACCACGGGCAAGACCAAAGAGCTGTCAAAGGACGTTAGGGACAAGATTGTAGACCTGCACAAGGCTGGAATGGGCTACAAGACTATCAGCAAGAAGCTTGGTGAGAAATAAACAACTGTTGGAGCAAATATTTGTAAATGGAAGGAATACAAAATAACCATCAATCGCCCTCGGTCTGGAACTCTATGCCAGATTTCGCCTCATGGTGTAAGGATGATCATGAGAAAATTGAGGGATCAGTCCAGAACTACATGGGAGGAGCTTGTGAATGATCTCAAGGCAGTTGGGACCACAGTCACCAAACAAACCATTGGTAACACAATACACTGCCATGGATTGAGATCCTGCAGCGCCCACAAGGTCCCTCTCCTCACTCCTCAGGAAGGCACATGTACAGGCCCGTCTGAAGTTTGCCAATGAACATCTAAATGATTCAGAGAAGAATTGGGAGAAAGGGCTGCGGTCAGATGAGACCAAAATTTAGCTCTTTGGCATTAAATCGGCTCGCCGTGTTTGGAGGAAGAAAAATACTGGCTATGACCTTAAGAACACCATCCCTACAGTCAAGCACGGAGGTGGAAACATTATGCTTTGGGGCTGTTTCTCTGCTAAAAGTACAGGTCGACTTTGCCACATTGAGGGGCCAATGGACGGGCCATGTATTGTAAAATCTTGCATGAGATCCTCCTTCCCTCAGCCAGAACACTGAAGATGGGTTGTGGATTTCAGCATGACAATGACCCAAAACATACTGCCAAGGCAACAAAGCAGTGGTTCAAGAAGAAGCACATTAAGGTCTTGGAATTGCCTAGCCAGTCTCCAGACCTTGATCCTCCAGAAAATGTAGGGAGGGAGCTGAAACTTCGAGTTGCCAAGCGACAGCCAAGAAACCTTAAGGATTTAGAGAAGATCTGTAAAGAAGAGTGGACCAAAATCCCTCTTGAGATGTGTACAAACCTGGTAACCAACTACAAGAAACGTCTTACCTCTGTGCTTGCCAACAAGGGTTTCTCCACCAAGTACTAAGTCATGTATTGCTTGGGGATCAAATACTTATTTTACTCACTGAACTGCAACTCAATTTATAACATTTGTATCATGTGTTTTTTCTGCATTTTTGGTTGATATCCTGCCTCTATCATTTAAAATACACCTATGATAAAAATTATAGACCTTTCATTTCTATGTAGGTGGGCAAACGTAACAACAAACGTAAAAGAAAAGTCGCTCATGCAGTAGGTTTGGCACCAGAATCTCATTAAAAGCATGTGTACTTCATTGACATATTTTCAAAACTGATAAATGTCATCAGTTTTTAATAACAATATTTACAGTGTCCATTGAAATTTTGTTTCTTTCAGAAAAGGAGTTAAGTTGGCCATACACTGCTCAAATTTAATCAAAGTCTTGATATACAGGTGAAACTCGAATAATTAGAATATCGTGCAAAAGTAATGGCAGTAAGTGCTGCAAAAGGGGCCCAAACCAAGTACTGAGTACATATGCATGCTTGTACTTTTCATAGGTCCGATATTGTTCTATGTACAATCCTTGTTTTATTGATTGCATGTAATAATCTACTTTTTTGAGGTTGTGGATTTGGGGTTCTTGGGGTTTTCATGAGCTGTAAGCCATAATCATCACAATTATGACAAATCACGGCTTGAATTATCTTGCTTTGCATGTAATGAGTCTATCTCATATATTAGTTTCACCTTTTAAGTTGCATTAGTGAAATAAATGAACTTTGCACGATATTCTAATTATTCGAGTTTCACCTGTATACATTATTGTAACCTCTTTTTTTATAGGTAACTCCATTACAGCAGGCATTATGGAATACGAATAGAGTTTGGCTCTGATAGTTCAGAAAACCGATTCAGGATTTGTTTTGCTCAAACCAGACTTGTCTTATGGCCTGTCCATTTTACGACAGGGCCGAATTAGACGGTTTTTTTTAATAGACACATCTGCATTCCATCTTAGCTGGCATGTGTTCTGTCAGAAGTACATCTGACGTGCACATTTTGGGGAAAAGGAAGGTGGCACTGTGTTCACTACGACTCCCCCATTCTCTCCACAGTCTGGGGTTTGGTAGATCTCATTATCGGCATGGCTATAACCTCTGCTCTCTAACCCGCAGGTAAATTGTGGTTAATTTATTAGTATGTGTATTCATAGTACAGGATCTCTCTGTAGACACACAGCAGCTTGCCCAGATCTCATACAGTCCTCAGCTATCTATGCAAGTTCTTTATCGAGTATTTATATACTAAGAACATGCACAAGCTGTTGTGAAAAATGATGTACTCTCTGGGAAGGGGCATTTGGAACACTTTTCACCACAATGGACTGGAAAGAGTGCAGCTCACCTTACAGAGACTGTATAGGATTATGAGGATACTTCCTAAGAAGTAGGTGCTTGAAGGATCATCTCCTATGATATATTTATACCACAGCTGGATGGGCACCAGGGAACGGACCAGCTGGCTCAGCTCTTCAATCAGCAGGTAAAACGTGCCCTGCAGAGACACAGTTAAGACACTTAATGCCACAGAGACTAGGCAGACTCAAACACAAAGGCTTTCATTACTTCATGTGGTGTTATGAATCTACTGAGACATTACAACACTCAGAGGTCCAGAACATTTAATCTACAGTTTGCTGAAGATAATTAGGAGTATAAAAATCCAGCAAGTAAAACAAAAAAGCAAGTGCAGTTGGAGTCAGAAAAAAGTCACCCGTCCCCTTTTCTTATTCTATGCGACTCTAAACATACAAGATTTAAGTGCTGTGTCAAAGGAATATTGTTGGTTACAATCATAATAATAACAATGACGGCAACCCCTGCAATAATAACTGCAACATTTTTCGATAATAAAAGTGCCAGAAAATATTTTCAGAAGTATTTATCTGCAAAATCAAGAAACTGTTAATACACATCAGGAGCTGGGAAACAGTCTGGGAGTTTAATTCAAGTGAAAGGACATAAAGAACATGGGGATGCTAGGCTCTAAGTGCCAATTTTATGGGATCAAATTGATATTTGCATAATTTATTGCCCCAACAAAATGTTTGTTCCCGGAGCTTGAGAGTCTGGTGCTGGATGTTTTGTTGTTTTCAGCCAGAAGAAGATAGCAATGTGTCCCCTGCACTAGAGTACCCCTAACACTTACCCCAAACCTACAAACCCTAAAGAGAACCATTGACACTTATCCCCTAAGCCTTCAACACTCAATACCACTAACAATAACTCCATGCAGCTCTGAGATCCATGTGCCAGAATAGCATTATTTAAACCCAAGAGACTCCTGGTGTGCTCTGGAGAAAATAAAAAAAATAGATCCAAGGTACCTTCAAATAATTCCACTCCAGTTAGTTGTCTTTATGGAGTACATTTTAGGGTAGACTAATCTAGTTAAAGAAAAAATCTGATTTGTATCAAATGTGTTTTTCCTAAAAAAAAAAAAAAAAAGGACATGCCGTCTAAATTTAGAACAGATGTATGGACTGGGAATCAAGCATCAGAGCATTGATGTGCTTCTGTAGTTTGTTACTCCAGTATACCCATAGTAGAACATACACTCTATTGCCAAAAGTATTGGGACGCCTTCCTTTACACGCACATGAACTTTAATGGCATCCCAGTTCGCAGGGTTCAATATTGAGTTGGCCCACCCTTTGCAGCTATAACAGCTTTTACTCCTCTGGGAAGGCAGCCACAAGGTTTAGGAGTGTGTCTATGGGAATGTTTGACCATTCTTCCAGAAGCGCATTTGTGAGGTCAGGTACTGATGTTGGACGAGAAGGCCTTGCTCGCAGTCTCCGCTCTAATTCATCCCAAAGATGTTCTATCGGGTTGAGGTCAGGACTCTATGCAGGCCAGTCAAGTTCCTCCACCCCGACCTCGCTCATCCATGTCTTTATGGACCTTGCTTTGTGCAGTGGTGCACAGTCATGTTGAAACAGTAAGGGGCCATCCCCAAACTGTGCCCACAAAGTTGGGAGCATGAAATTGTCCAAAATGTCTTGGTATGCTAATGCCTTAAGAGTTCCCTTCACTGGAGCTAAGGGACCAAGCCCAGCCCCTGAAAAACAACCCCACATCATAATCCCCCCTCCACCAAACTTTACACTTGGCACAATGCAGTCAGGCAAGTACCGTTCTCCTGGCAACCGCCAAACTCAGACACGTCCATCGGATTGCCAGACAGAGAAGCGTGATTCGTCACTCCAGAGAACATGTCTCCACTTCTCTAGAGTCCAGTGGCGGCGTGCTTTACACCATTGCATCCGACGCTTTGCATTGCACTTGGTGATGTAAGGCTTGGATGCAGTTGCTCGGCCATGGAAACCCATTCCATGAAGCTCTCTACGCATTGTTGTTGTGCCAATCTGAAGGACAGACGAAGTTTGGAGGTCTGCAGCTATTGACTCTGCAGACAGTTGGTGACTTCTGCCCACTGTGCACTTCAGCATGCTCTGACCCCGCTCTGTCATTTTACATGGCCTACCACTTCGTGGCTGGGTTGCTGGTTGCTTCCGCTTCGTTATAATACCTCTAACAGTTGACTGTGGAATATTTAGTAGCAAGAAATTTCACGGAACACCTGAATCCAATGATTTGGATTCAAATGATTTGAATCAAATTATTTGGTGTCCCAATACTTTTGGCAATATAATATATGTATGTATGTATGCGACATTCATATGAAATCAAAAGGTGTGAGTAGGCTGTTATTATCCGCCATAAGTCAAGGACAATAAAACTAGATGCCCTGGCTACCAGCATATATTCACTGCCATATGACAGTGCCCATGTGATAAAATATTGTAATTATTTAGGAGTTAAATAATGTGTTTGGCCAAAATATACTTTAGCAGTAAAAAATGAAAAGAATGATGGTGGATTGATAAAGCAATAGTAGGTAGGACTATAATGACGTAATGTTTTTCTTTTTTTTCCCCACTGATCATATCAGACAGACCAACATAGTCTGGCAAACCTCCAAACATATGGAAAAGGAGTATAATTGCTGGGGAAGTCAGGAAATGATAAACTGGCACTAAACACTCCAATTCACCTAGGCAGCAATGCACTTTTTTGGGTTGAATAATTTTGTTCTATAGGATTACAGGATGTGTCCTAATACTGGCCTATGGCTTATATTGCTAGTGAACTAATGATGGCACCAATTACTGAAGAGCATGTGTGCCTGGTATGCATGCCGGCATCAGCTCATTAAGATCTTAGGAAACTGGCACCAGAGATACCTCAATCTTTCTGGTACAGGGACATGTGCTATCACATTGTGTAGGGTACTGCAGACACTGCTGTGTTGCAGATGAAAAGACCAGAGAGTGTGCTACACTGATTAACGACTCAGATGTGGATTATAGCCTTCTCTGTCCGCTCTATCCCCTGAGGTCTTTGTAAGAGGAGGAGAGTGTGTGTGTTTGTGCCTGTGTTTAGAGGCTGAGGGAGGGAGGAAGGTGAGATCATACTGCATGTCTTATGTTTTACAGTCCCGCTGCTAGGAATAAGTCTCATTGCTCAGAGCTTTGGCATTCTTATGATCTCATAGCCCTCCAATGAGCTGACAGCGAAGGCACATTCTCGCTACCATTGTTTTCATTTACACTGTATCCCACAGGTACGGCATCAAAACAATAATAGCATTACAATAATGATAATATTCACACTGCTACTGCAAACACCTTTCTTAGTTAAATAAAAAAAAGAAATGGGTTTGCGAATAACTTTGTTTACGCGATACCCATTACCACAAACGTCCACAATCAATCAAATTAAAAATCTCAAAAGTGCAAGCATTGTAATAAACCAATACGGTTGAAAGCACATCCATTCTGGGGATTTACAAAACATATTGGGGGGAATTTGTCAAAACTGGAGCAGATTTGCACTGCAACCAATCAGCTTATTTGTCTCTTTTTCAAATCTTACCTGAGCAAAGTGAAGAGAGATGCTGATTGGTTGCCATGGGCAACTGCTCCAGATTCTGCCTGCTCCAGCTTTGATAAATTCCTCCCATTTAATTTAAAGGCTACATACTTCATTTTCATACTCAGAATCCCTAAAACTGTGTGTCATAATGAGTTGCAAGTGGATCAGTCAAGGGTTCAAAGCTAAGGATTTCATAAAAAATTACAATTAGGTGTAGCAGTGTGCTAGCCATGGAATCAACCGTAGACTTCAGGGAATACAGTTAAGAGAACCAGTCACTCCTTTCCTAGCCATTAGCAAACATACTACCTAATTGTTTACTCTTGCACTCTTCTAGCGAGGAGCAAGGCTGTAATGTTGCAGACAGTAGAGCTGGATATAAGGATATATGGAAGCACAACAGCAATTCTGTAATTAACATAATGGGGCGAATTTTTCAAGACTGCTGGCAACCAATGAGCTTCTCTCTTCAGTTTGTTCAGTTAAGGTTTGAAGATGAAAGAAGGATGTCCATAGATAAATCCCCCTCAATGTGTGAAAGAGGTTAGGGGAGCTAGGGCAGTAGTAACATCATTTTCATGGCTGTGTAGTGTGGAAGTTGTGTGTCCAATCACACAACTAGTGAAAAACACGACAAATAATGATGTCTCACACAACTAGAGCATTTAGGGTAATCATGAGAGATTAAAGTATCAAAAAAATTTTTTTTTTAACCTTTGGATAGAGCAGGGAATGGATCTGTCAGGTTTTTTTTCTTTATTGCTGTCTGTGTCCTGTTAGAGAGATTTCCCCTTATTTCCTGTCCTGTATTCAAATTGCAGTAGAGGAATGTTGTCACTACCCAGGCTATGATGTGCATGTAGGGTTAACTGGATTTCAAGATTGATTCTAAAGAACTACAAATCTTTTGGACAACTGACACTTGTAAGCAGCATGTGGACAGGTATACATTTATGACACCAGAAAATACCTGCATGTACTTGCAGCAAATTTCAGCATAGCTGCTCTGGCAAAATGATGGTCCATTCTGACAGGGCAAAGCTTCTGCACTACTTAGTAGATTGAAAACGTGATCCCCACTCCCCATCCCGCCTGTCTCCCACACATTCCTATTGTCCAGTGAAGCAGCCCATCATAATGATGAGTCAATAGGAATGGGCAAGCGGACAAGACCCAAAACTACCAGAAATTGTAAGAGCTTAGGCCGTTTTGGCTTTCAGGCAAAGGAGTGTTGACACTGAAAGATGTTGCAGGTGTGGCTACCTCTGGGTGCCTTCACTTTATATCTCTCAGCAGCTTTATTTTAAAGTGACCAAGGCACTTTACTGTATCATATTAACCGCACAGTAGACAGTCAATTACAGAAAGTTTAAACTGTGACTTGGTAGCTAATGTGTAAGGAAAGTGTCAGGACACACAAAAATTAAAAATCAGACACACCCAGACAGCTGATGAGTATGTCGGAAAACCATAAGAGGCTAGCTTCCCAGAAAAAGTCCTCAAAATTATACTTTGAACATTTTAGATACCAATAATGCTGACAGTGTTCTTCCTTAA